TTTATTCAAAAGCACAATTTGAGAATAATTCCAACATCAATCAGAGAGCTGATGAAAGACTCCTAAGTGTGTCTGGATCTGAGCACAAAGTTACCAGGTAACAGATACTGGATAAGGGTGAGTGATGTACATGCTTTGAGTTGTATTTTATCAGCTAATACTGGAGATTAAAAGAAATTAAACTAAGGGAGTGTTTGTAAGAATACACCTCTTCAGTGTAAATAATAGGGGCTTGTGCTTGAATTTTTCCCTAACAGCCTGAATTTGTTGCTGATTAAGTGATGCTATAGGACTCAAGGCTCCTATTTCACAGGGGGTGAAAAATCATACCCTGGGGCTACGGTCTGTGTAAAAAATGCCAATAAAGGTTCTGCTGCCTTGATTATATGGATAATGGAGGGTTTTTCCTCCGTTGGATTTACGAGAAAAAAATGTTTACACTTCATTGCTTTTAGTAAGCATCTGTGACTGGAAGAAACGCTGTGAAGCCTGCAGCTTCTGCTTGCTGTCCCTCTCTGTCCCCACCACCACTGCTTCCAGCTCGGCTCTGGGAGCAGAGAAGTGCCAGCTCTGCCCCAACACAGGCCCTCTGACTCTCGGTACCATCTGCAAGCACAAGGTCGATTCTGGGCCTGCCCTTTGGTTATTTCATTGCAAATTTTTCTTGTTTTGATTTTGTTTCAGGCAATACAAGAAAGATTACAGGCTTGAGTCAGCCAGTGATCCTGTTTCCTGCTGGTCAATAGATGTAACTCCCTAGAAGAGAGTATTCCGGGAAAGAAAACTATGCCAGTGATGGTCTTCCAAATATTTGTGATACTTTCTCTCATCAAGAAAACCACACAGTTAAAGCTTTACCTGTTACTATATATAAACATCACAAATTTTTTAACTCAAAATAATTGCACTTTCAAGATGCGAATGTGCTTGCTTGTTGCGTTATTTTTAAATGGTTTCTAATAATGAAGATTTACATGAATGAACTAAATAAAATTGATGTTATCAGCTCAGCGATACAGACATACAGAATTAGGTCTCCAAACAAAAAGAAGTAGTGGCATCAACCAGTCCAACAAATGTGTCATGCAAACAGTAGTAGATCTCGAAAATTTAGACCCTCCATCCAGTTACAAATGATGGTGTTCTTGAACTACGTGTTTTGTAAAGAGAGGATGAAGTTTAGAGCGGTATTAGTTTACTTTTTCTCTCATGTTTTATTTTACAGAGGAAAAAAACCCCAGTCATCTTGTATTAGGGTTCTTTTGGAGCTCATTCTGTAACAATGTTCAAGGCTGATGAAATCTGCAATAGTAGCAGGAGTGGGGCTGGCAGCCCACGCTGGCTGCAGCCCTGATCATTGTTGCAAAGTTTCTGAGGCTCCGTTTTAAAAACGTCTGCAAAACAGACCTCTGACTTGTTGCAAAAGACAGCACTTCAACCCTGAAATTTAGCAGCATTTTTTGGCACTGTTTCATACCATGTTTTGCAAATGTTGGAAGATGTTTTACAAATAATGAACAACTCAAACCAACATGTGGCGAATGGAGGTAACGTTTCAGAGAAAACATACACACAGAAGCCTCTGCCTGTGGAATGCAAGTTGTAGTTTTAGTCTTCAGTTTTTTTCATAAATTTTAATTCCAAAATTATTTTGTGTTTTAGAATTTCCGTTCCTATGTATCTTTGAACCCATAAATATGCCAGCATTGTAGAAAGTTTAACAAAAATTGCTTTCTATCCTGCAAATAATATATGGCTGGAAAAACATTATTTTAAAGCAATGTACTAGAAGAGAAGCAATTTCTTGCCAAAGTCAGTAAGATAAAGCAAACTATGTAATTAGAAGCCTGTTTTTTAAAGGAACTGTGTAGACATGATGCCAAGATATGTTTGTGCGAATTGCTTGTACTTCCAAGATGCAGATTTGGAGAGGCAGATTTGGCTGGACAAATTACATGACAATGTGGAATTTGGAAACTGGAAACCCAGATTGCTTGCTTCGCCACATCATAAACAGGCTTGCCAATTTGAAAAGCAGATTATTTCCATTATAAACGAACTCAGTATTTGAATTACATGCTGTTGACGCTGGGTTTTATCTGTGGATTTACCGCAAATTAAAAATTCCCTGCTTTCAGTTACAGGGTGTCTACGTGTTGCCTCCTCCACCTGCCGGCTAACTGCAGGGACAGCAAACTGCACTGAAATGAGGGAGCAGTGAGGCAGGGCTGGAAGGCATTTTTCACCTGGTTCTCTTCACTTTAATCAAGGCTCAAGCATGTGCAGACCATTCTTGAGAGACGCTCCTCTAACCCATCCACTAAAACCTGCAATGCCGGAGGTTCCCCAAATGCCCCAGGCAGGCTGCTGCCCTGTGAACGCAATTCTCCCTTGCTGCAAACAAGCAGATTCTGCAAACAAGCAGATCCTGCTAACCTTCGTAGAGGGGGAAAAAAAACCCAATGTCAGCCTTCCTCACAGCAACTTTTTACACAGTTGGGGGTTTCCTCCCCCCCTCTTTCTACAACTTCTCTGCAAAGCTGTTCCTATCTTTTGGACTGCATCCAGTTTGCCTACACTGCGTTCAGGTGCTGGGCTCTGAGCTGCACAGGGACCTGCACCCGTGGCCGCCCCGGCTGATGGAGCCTTTCCAGTCTGAAGAGGTGCTCACCAGCTGTACCCACAGGCATCTCTGTCCTCTCTGCAGCAGCCCTGCGTTGCCGGCGTGCCTGGTTACTGTGACTCCCAAATCCCACCCACAGCACTGCTTCCCCTGTGCACATGTGATTTCCATTCCATACATATGTTCCGTTTCACTCTTTTCCACTTGAATTGTGTCTTAATTTGTTGTTTAGTCACTCTCCTCCTGTCCTGTCCAAGCACCGAAGTGAGTTCTGATGGGCTTCTGATTTCCTGTGCTCCCTTCCCTTGCTCAAGAAGCTGAAGGCAGACACAGTAATGAATACTTTACATTCTGTAATTTCTAATTCCAATGCAGAATACACGGTATATCTCACACTCTTCTCTTTGAACTGGCATTGTACCAGTTGATGGTAGGAGTAAAACTTTCATCCAGCTGTAAGCATCTATCTGCTACTTCTCTCTCCCCTTACTGGCAACTTTAGCTACATTTGCAGTTATCCCCTACGTTGCAGGAATCTTGGAAGAACTACATATTTAAAAGGGGATTTTTCTATCTGCACCAGCATAAGTGGGAGTTTTTCAGGCTGCCACAGAAGCCATGCAAAAGCAGAGTAGAGCCTCTCAGGTCAACTTCTGGCTGACAGTTCACTGCCAGCTGACAAGACTTCTGCCACCTCCGGAGATTTGCCTCATCCCCATAAATCAAAGAGGAAAGCTCTGGCTCAGGCTGCCCAGTATCGCCTTGTGTGCCTGACCTTTGCCAGCCAGGTAGGTCAAGATCTGCTGTCTGCCACTGTGCTTTTTTGTTTTAACGGAGCAAGTGAGTACGGGACCAGCCCTGATGGGCAGTCCCACAGCTCCCATCTCAGGATCCAAAATGGATCATTGCTTTTAGTTTATTCTATTCCATCTAATTCATCACCTTAGAATAAAAACTCAGAACCATGTAAACTTAACCTTAACAGTTTCAATTTTCTCCTCTTCTCTCACTCCTTCCCGTTTCTCTCTCTGCTTTCCTCCTTTTTCAGTAACTTATTACCTCCTGTAGAAACTACTGTTTTCTTTCATCGTTTTTGTCTGAATTTATCAGGCAGAGGTATCTAGCCACTGTGACACCTCCCCTCCCTGCAAGAATTGATTTTTTTTTCTTCTTCTTCTACAAAACAACTGCTTTTAGTAAAGGATTTTGTTCCTCCCATAAATTTAACAGTAAGTATTTTTTTCCTCTTTTTGCTTTTTCTGTTGCATTTTGTTCACCTCTACCTTTTGTTCTTTCAATTTAACCCATCACATCTTATGTCATCTCTGTTTTTCCCACTACACTCCTCTTTCCTCATGTGTGTCTGTATTTTAGTTTCCCACACACTGACTCTCTCCTCTCTCCTTGTCATATAATAGTAAGGAAACTTTCTACTTTGCCACGAGACTGCAATTGCCTTGCTACAGCTGATTCGATTAAAAGAAGACTCTAAGTAAATAAGAAATCTGCTTATTTTTTTGCTTTAGAACTAATAGCTTACAATTTCTTCCAGTACAAAATGAATATATAAATAAATGGGACATTTCTTGCCCTGAAATACATAGATCAATTCTGTTAAGGGAACAGAGGAAGGAATTTTACTGGAAGACGGTAAGGCTCTTACACAAACAAGATACTGTCCAAAACACCGCTACCAGTACTTAAATCCGAGTGCTGTTTGGAACAGTGGTATTTCATTAATTTATAAAGATATGGGCATTCAAAAGTTAATTTCAAACTAAAATAGAGAAGTGCTGGCTGCTAACAGTCATCTCGAGTGATGGCACTGCACCAGTCCTCAGCACTATACAGTCAAGTGGTCAGCTGGTTTTAAGTACTACTGACTTATCCTGAAATATGTGCTGGTCTGTCAGCTGGCCTCTCGTGTTGAATTTCAAAATGCATCTGGCATCCTGAGCTTTGTGAAACTGGAATGAAAACATTGATAGCTGTTGGAATAACAGAACAAGGCATTAAGTACTGATGCTTTTATTTAAATCGCTCCTGACACTCAGTTACTGATTTAAAATTGGATGGAATGTTTCTGTTATGTTTTACAAAGTAACATTTTAAGTCAGAATTTTAAAACTAGTAAATTAATTCAGCAAAACTAGGATATTTCAGGGGAGGAATGATATCTGTGCACACAAGCAGAATAGTTCTTTAGCACTTAGGATTTGATCAAATATGCAGTAAAACTCTCTGAGAATCCATCATATCTTAGCATTGCTAAATGTCGTAAGCTTATGTATTTTTAATACTTCTTAAACATTGAAAAATACTGTTCTTTCAGACAAATACTCTATAAACCCATGAATTCGGAGGAAGTTGTAGTTGTTTAAAACAGACTGGAAACAATATAGTCCGTATGAACGCCATCTATCAGCCCAGCTCCATTGTTATGAACAAACCAGCAAGGAACATCAATGCCATGCTTAGGATCTCTTCTGTAATCCTTCTGCCAGCCTCTGAAAGGGAAAATACAGTCACAGGAGTGAGTATTGAAGCAGAAACTGCACTTTGAGAAGGTAATCTTTCCTAAGCCCTTGCTAAGGACTTAAATATTTTTTACCTTGTTACGGTCAGTTCATTGTTTTTGACAATCATTGTGGCATCTGGTTTCTTGGGATCAGATCCAGGATGAATTTCAAGTATGGTGAAGTTAATAGGGTGGAAAAACTGTCCTAAAAATATAAGCCAAAATTACCATTTCGGGCATGTTGCACACATTAAAACAGAAACAAACCAAACAGAAAGCCCAGAACTTCTACATTTCCATGTTGTTTTCCATGCCCCCTCAGGGTTTTCAATGGATAAACAAACACCAAGTTTCATGTAAGGTTGAACATATGCCTATGGTATTGTTTACTTTTTATAAACCACAATTCTATGCATATCATCTGGATGTAAGTTCCAACTTCTGAGTGCACAGTAAAATTGCCCTTTTCTAGACATCCTTCAAGATATCCTCACTTTGTGTCTTGTCTATTCAGTTGTATTTATCACATATTCTCCAAGTTTTTAGCTTTTTTTTTAAATCAAATAGTGCATGTATTGCTGTCTGAAATTTTTGGATGTGGTTATCCTCAGAATAAGGTTGACATCGAAGGAATTTTCACATTCCTGCCAGGATTAGCTTTCGCACGCTTTTGCCCTATCTGTGCTGGTGCAGGATGCCCCTGGTACTTTGAGTGCTATAATGAGCACAGATTTTAGACTACTTAGTGAAGTACACAGGCAAAATCAAAGACAACGAGAACAGCGATGAGCTGTGTAAGTCAGCGAACTGTAACATGGTGTACCCACGTGTCACGTGGGTTTTTGCAATTTTCTTGCTACTTGCAGTTCATACCATAGCAGAATACCTTCTGTGTGCAGAAGTCCTTTAGCCTGAGGAGACTGGAGCAGGAAAGCATAAATAACATTCCATCCTTATTCTGCTCTTTTTCTGTTTTCTTACAGCATTTCCCATGACGCACAGACCTAACACGTACTACCACTGGCACCCTGCCTCACTCTCCTGAGGCCTCAAAGTGCATACAGAGACTGAGAAGAGTAAGTTTGCAGCAGTTCACTATTTTCCACAATGGAGTAAACTTACTGACCCAAAATGAATGTTCGCTGCCCCTATCTGATTTTGTAGGTGAAAATTAGAAGGCAAGGGAAAATGGCTGCTATCTGTGTATTCTCCAACAAAGAATGCACGCCACCAAACCCACTACACTGGCAGAAAACAGGATTCAATGGGGTCAAAATTTTGACCCCTGAATTACCAACTTCACCTTTACTGGAATAAAGAATGTTAGCTAACATGAGGAAAATCTTAGCCCATACAAGGCATTCTGTGATTTTAATATATGCTAGTAAATCAAGATATACCTTAACAACTTCTTTTCTTATGGCTGAAGTTTGGCAAATTTTGACTGAACAAACATATGTATTTTCTCAGAGTGCTTGTACTTAGAAAAAAAGGTGATAAGATGAAAGGAGAGATCAAACCATCCAAGAGACTGGAGGAACAGTGTAGTAAGAAAAAAATAATCCGTAAGTGGGATTTAGCAAGATAAAGAGGTTTAAAGATGCTAGTGAGGATAATGGATGCTACTGATTTCAGCAGCAGAAGAAGAATTTATGAAAAGATAATGCATAAAGTCTGAGCCCAGAATACTCTGTCAGAAATCTTAATATGGCCAATCAACGTCATCTCAGTTTCTTCTGCTATCTCAGTTCAGAAGGGCTAAGTACAGGACTGTGTCTACAAATTATGTAGCCTTGTAAGGAAAGACAGGCATGAAAACACTAAATGAAGTCATACCTAACAATCCATGGGTCTGATCAGACAGTTTATCACTTTCCAATGTGTACAGTCCTAGGAAATCTTGGTGGAGAGGATGTTTCTTCCACACTTGGTGCAAAACAATAACAAATGAGGCACCACTGCCCATTGAGAGCACCAGATTTTTCTTTCTGTTAATTATCAAGGTTAAACTGAGGAAAAAAGAAAAACTTGACTTAGGGCATTGTGCTTCCCAGAGTTGACAGCAATGAGAAGAAACTTGAGAAGAAAAAACATGTTCAACAAACAAACATGGCTTTATAAATTGCTCGGTGTTTTTTAAGATAGAGGTTTTGCTGCCTGTTTGGTCCATGTGAATCTGTGTGTGTTCACAGACAATCCAATACTCATACTAAATTACACTGTAAAAGGCTACCTAGCCTTCAAACTTTTCAGCAAGGTGTTTCTACCAAAACTCATCCTATAACAGCACAATTAATCACAGATAGGTTAGTGATATGTAGATATAGCACCTCATGCTCAGTAATAAAAATGTTACTGATAAAACCATCACTTCCTTGCCTGGATGCCACCTGACACATTTTCCTTTTGTTTTTCTGAAAAGACCACTCCTGAACTGTCTAGGTTAGTGCTAGGATAAAGAAGATTCGCTTCTGATTGTGTTAGTGATACCACCAACATGGTTATCGTAATAAAAAAATAAGCACGCTGGATGAATAACAGTTTTTCTCCGCTGCTGTTTCTGTTGCAGTGCCATGCTTTGAGAAGGCAGTAATTTTGTTCCAGGTACACAATGAAAATGAGGAGGAGGAGATACTGCCCATTCCTTTTCTAAACCTCCTTTTGCACACGTATAAATGATGCCGTAATAGATAAATCTCATGAAAAATACACCTGCTGACAGGGCAAAATGTACCTATCCTATAAATATCACAATTTCCATTTCTTAAAATGGAGATTGTTCACAGCATATTATTATGTTGGTCTTTAAAAGATTACACACTATGTCTAAAGTTACTCTTTAAGTATTTGCAAGACACTGTTGCATTAAGCACAGTAACAAATCTAGCTTTACCTTAGTCATCACAATAGAAAACCAGGGAAAATTCTTCACTTACGTATTCCAAGCAGAGGAAGTTATGAATAATCATTCAGCGGTTACATAACAAAGTAGAGAGCAGAGTCCAGCAGGACTTGAATCAGTTTCTTTTGTACATTCAGACAACAAATCTTAAAAGTATATCATTGATCAACACTTTAAAAAGTGTAGAAAGTAATACAGGAGCCTGTTATTCTTTCTATAAGCCTTACCCTTCTTGTTGCATGGTGACTGAGTCAAGCCAGGTGAAACCTGTTTTTTCATTGCCATTCTGAATCATGATCTTCTCAGTAGTTACTGTCAGTTTCAAATCCAGGTGCTTATTTGCAATGCCAAGTTTTCCAAAATATGTGTTCTGGATCTTTGCATCACTATTTTCTCTCTTATCACCAATGAGTTCTCCATTGACTGTAATGCCTGATACAAAAAGGAAACATCAAATATTGTTTTATAGATAGGACCTGACCAACTGACAGCAAGGAGTGTCATGGAAATTTAACAACAACTCAGGGAAACAAATATGAGTTGAAAAATAGATCAGAATTACTTGTGCACGTTTTTCCCAAAGTAGAATGAAGCTCTGAGGGCTGTTCTGTGGATTTCCATAAAAACAACAATCACTTTGTTCAGAAAAGTTCAATATTTCCTAGAGCACAAAGAGTCTGTGATGGGCACAAATAGCCTGTGTGACATCAGTCTCTCTTTACCAGATATTCCATGAAATGGCAACCTAAGGCTTATTTTATTGCTTCTACTACTACTCACTGAGACAAGTAACGTCTCTCAACTCTCACAGTGATTTTTAAACAGTTTAAAAGTTCATTTTACTCCAAGAAGTGAAAACACAGTCATGGTAATGGTACCCTATCACAGCTACAGGAACTCCTCCTAACTTTGCAGGGGAAAAAAGCTTACGCAGTATAACAGAGAGAAATAGCCTTTAAACATAAGACATTTTGTTGTAAGTATCCTGATTTACGGTATTTCAACAAATTAAAAACTCACCTGTAACTGGGTCATTTATTAAATTTAACACAGCACCTGGGTTTTCATTGATATTGAAACAAATGACATCATCTTTTTGCGGTACCGATATAATGAAGTGTGGATCTCCATCAACTGTAAAGGCAAATCACTGGTGTTTGCATAGCGATACAGAGGTTCAACATTCCGCATGAACGTTTAACGTTGTGGCAGTGGAACTGCTGATGCTGGGGACTGGCAGGAACTGGTCCCTACACAAGCTTTATGCCCAGCTTAGTCCAGCCCATCCTACAAACGAGCGGTGGGGTCCCAAAGAAGCTGCTACCCTCTCCCCAAAGTGAACTACATCCTTTTTCCCCTCATCTTTCCCAGGTACATAACATATACCCTGTATCTCTTGACCACTGCAAAATTTGGCACAGAGATTGTATGTTCAGGATGGCCACCTCTAAGTCCTTATCTCTGAGGGCCATGAAAGTATTACTGAGGGCAGGAAGATCATCTGAATAGAGAACAGGCAGTTACCAACACTAAGCCTAGCAATGGGAAGGAGGACTAAGAAAATGACCATATATAATCTTAGTGACTTGATCTTTAAAAAACATTTAGAGATCTTTAAAGTAAATGAAAATAATGGCCCCCTGGAAATAAAAAATGGCTGCTTTTATGGAAAGGAATTATCTAAAAGACTTATAAGAATTGTGCGATTTAGTCTTAAATACCCTCTTCTGTCCTCCTTCTAAGCAGACACTACTGAAACTACTCACCACTAGTATACCATGTGGGGTGTGCTGTATATAGGTAAGATGATAGTTGCGGAGCTGCAGAGAGCAAAGAAAAAAAATGTTAGAAAAACTCACAACAAAATGGAATATTTATACACTATCTGCACAGTACATATGTAGGCTGTCAGGAAGTTAATATGCTAGGTAAATTGCTAATTCCATCCTAGTTTTTAAGGCATATAGTCCATGGAATGACAGCTTGTGCCCCTTTTGAATCAAGGAAAGCTTCAGGATAGAGACAGATTTCACATGTAGTCTAAATGGCTTTGAGGGTTTCCACAAGGCCTGAGTAATGTATCTGTAGGACACAAATGTCTCAGACTTAAGGATTAAGCTGTCTATCAGCAAGGAAATGTGACACCATCCATTGAAAACTTTGGAGGTTTTGACATTTGGTTTTTTTGCAGAATGAATTTAAGTCTTTTCAACAAAGACTCGAGAAAACTAGACAGACACAGCGAGAGAGAGAGAGAGAGAGACTGAGACTAAACTCCAGAGCAAAAATTTAAGTCTCACTCTTCCATTTCCAGGATTGCCCAGCCAGCAACCTGAAGGGTCAATTGCTGTCTCTCTCTTAAATAAAACAGTTTCATTTCATATAAGAAAGTGAATATATCAATTTAGCCAGATATACTGACATCATAGGCCCTTGCTTTACATAATTCCAAAGGAGATGCAAATTCAAGTCCATCCTCTGTTCTTGGGAAATAGCTTTCAGGAAAAAATGGTGGTTTGATGAACTGGTGTTTATTCCTTAAAAGCAATTTATCTGACATTTTTTCATCTGGTAATGTTCAAACTTTAAGTGTTTTTTTAGCAGTGAGCAACATTTTAGCAGTGAGCAGAATTTGGCAGTATTTGTTAAAATACAGTTGTAAACCCAGAAAAGCCACTTTCTGTCTCTCCGGTAATTTCAGTTGTCTGAATCAATTATTTCCTTTTACAAATGCTGCTTCATTCAGAAACTTAAACTAATGACTTACCCAGCTGAACAGGTGTGACAGCCTGTGCTGTGAATGAAACAAAATGTTATTTCAGAGGCTAGAAAGAATAAAGAAACACATTTCTCCCACTTCCTTCCTTCCACCAAAACCAACTCCAAAATCTTGTAATTATGTATAGATCTCTAAATATTTAAAAAAGAAAAGCTTAGTCAAAACAGTTTATTTAGTACTGCAACAAAGCGAATGTCATGAACAGGCAGAAAGCACGCCTTACTTTTCAGAAAAAATATTACTTCTCCAAAGGCATGGGGTTTGCTCTGTAAGGGGCTGGGACAACCTGCTCTTCTCTGATTCCTCTGTGCCACTTTGTTCTAAACTGTACTACTGGGAAGTCAGTAAGATTTACCCACCTGCTTCCTCATTTTCCTAGCCTTCTACTCTTTTTATGTCTGAAGCTATGCAGGGGTGTCTGAAGACAGGGCCTTGTGCTGAGGAAGTAGTAATCACAGCATCAGTGCAGGCATCTCTGTGTGAGAGACTGCTACACACAGGTATCTGGGCATCAACAGTGCTAACCCTGGCAAGCACCTTATTTGTACTGGGCCTGAATTTTGTGATGGTGGGATGCCCCAATTATCAGAGGGAGGAGGAACCATGCTGAAATGGTATTTACAAACTTTTCCAGCTGAAAAGTTTTTAATCTATTTATAACACAGTCTTGATTTACTCGCCAAGAATTTTATGAAAATATTGCACCCTAGATCAAGCAAGTGATGCAGGAAATCCATCTCTAACAGTTAAAAATATTAAGTGAATTTAATAAAAAATGTACGTACCTTCAGCTGTAACCATGGGTAGGTAAGAAGTAAAAGGAAGAAAAAGAGAAAATTACAGTTTCAGTTGTATGACTAAACAGGAAGGATTCTGACTCTGTTAAAATATATTCTAAGAAAAAGAATTTAAAACTGTTTGACAATTCAACCAGGTATCTTCAGTATTTTACAATTCCATTTCTTCCCAATGATACAACTCAGTATTTATACATCAAACAGAAACACACTAAAAGTAAAAAGTTGTTATGTGGGGCAGCAAAACCACAATAAATCATGTATATGACAAGAGCACTATTAGTAATTGGTTTATTGTTACACTACTTCCAAATTGCAAAATGTTCCTTATTGGTTTTACTCTTTTGTGGTTTTCAAGGCATTTGCATCATTCTATTAATACTGACTGGATGATTCAGTAATGCTATTTGTGAATCTAGACTAGGATGTGTTAAAATTATTTTCTTTTCTTATACAGCAGCAGTGTTTTTGAGTATTTTCTCCTATTACTGCTCTGTACTTTCGATATACAAAGAGGATTTTCTTGGAAAGAGGTTCAGAAAAGGGCCTTTGTACCACAAGTACCTGGAAAGGGAAAGCAAGGAGCTGAAGATCACTCTGACTGGATGCCACTTCTGTCAGATGTTTGGGTAAGTTTTTCCATCTTATGGAGTCCAGCAGTAAACTTTAAAGTTCTTATGTTGTATAGTGTCTTGAATGTTAAATTAAACACGAAGTGGTTTTATGTCAGTATCCCGTTATGATAGTTACGAAAAATAACGCAAAAATTTTATCAGCTGAATGCTTGAAGAATTATTTAGAATTGAAAGGCCCTTAGCAATTAATTGGTTTCAGGACTTCCTCCAGTTGAAAGAAAACCCCACTAACCTCCAGTAAGCATCTCTGTTATGCTCAAATGCCTTAAGTTACCTGGCCATATTCAGGAGATGAGAAAGTTTTTCATCTAGAAGCCAGCAGAGAGCCCATGTAGAGCCTGGGAGGAACTTCTAGGGGCACTAAGCAAAAGTTTGGGGAAAAAAGAATGGATGCTAATAGAAGAGATTGAAAAGCCTCACAAAAGGTTTGTCAGACCTGTTGAATGAGGGAGAGATGAGGATAGCCCAAATAACACATATAGATGAGGGTAGGGTGGCCTCGGGGTGCACTGAGCGGATAGCATTTGCCTTACTGTGCTAAAGAGGAATGGAGAAATTTTGTTTCACGCAGGTTAAACAAACAGGCTGAACTGTACGAAAGCATGGTGGTTTACTGAGAATAGAGTTAATAATTAGCCAAAGTATCAGAGGGGTTGAGAACAAACTGTGCACTTTCAAAATAATTGATTCTTTTTCTGCAATACTTAGGAATATCATGTTTTATAGATAAAATCTCCATCTTTTTACAACCTCATATATCCTTCATGAGGAAGATCTCAAGCAAATTTTCCCCTTTCATGTAGAAAGATGTTACTACATCTACCCCTAAGCTGAAGTATGTAGAAAACTAAAGGAGAAAGTGATGTGAACTAAACTGAATATACCTGGATTATTAAATTAGAAATGCTTCTTGACTTTTTTTAATGTAATATTTTATATATTTAGCTTAAAATACACTTATTTTGAAATTATAGTATTTTGCCTGTAAGATAGAGTAATGAAGGATGGTTTGATGGAAATGAGCTTTACAATGAAAAGTAATTTTGCATAAACCATACATGTGCAAGGCTTGGAAAGTAGATTTTTCAGATACATGTTTAAAACTGTGCCCACAAGAAAGCCCTTCTTTAGAGGAACATCAAAGGAACACTTGGCTTCTCAAATAAAGTGAAATTGTGAAAATGCCTATACCTTCAATGGGTTTATCGGCAATCCCATCTTGATTGTCATAGTCTTCTGGCTTTGTTACCACCATGGATGTCAGTGGTGTTACAAACTTGTATTTTAGTGAGAGATCCAGGGCTTCAGCTGTAAGATTATCCTTTTCTTCTCCTGTAGCTGCAATACTGAATACAAGCAGAGACTCCTAGTATCAACGATTGCTAAACTACTCACTGAACTCCAGATTAAATATTTGCCTCTAAAGTGAAGTCATTTCGCTACAGCTAATTTATCAATAAGGAATATTTGTTATAGTCTAAGAGCAATTCTGATTCCATTGGCTATCCAAGAAAAAGGCAAAACTGTGCTTTATATTTGCAATAATTTAAAATTGTTTAATCTGCAACCTGAAACAGGAATACTGAGGTTGGGGAGGAGAATAGGTTGGGGGATTTTCCTTACTGTTTTTTAAGCTTTCCCATTGGGACCTCAGCGTGATGCGAATTTGAGCTTCACATCCTAGAAGTTGCACCAGTCAGATGGCTTAACGGGTTCATAGCTAAGATTTTGTTCTAGAGATAATTACCGTTTTTCCAGGAGTTGCTCAATGGTGAGATAAGCCCAGAGCCTTTCAATGTACTCTCCAAATATGTATTCTTGTTCTTGGAAAGCTTTAGCTGTTTGCTCAGCATCTTGTTGTGTACTGTATGATAGGGCATCATTAGCCTGTTAGGAGTAAGGAAACTTCTCTGTATCATAAGTAGCCAGGGACTTCCAGAACCTCCCAAAATCAAGGCCTTCACATCTGAAAATCTTATTAAATTGAAAACCAGTCTGGTCATGCACAGCACTTGCCCAGGAAATTTTCAGTGTTGTATCAGGATCTTTGTTCCGTTGCTTCTGCGAAGTTTAGTAATGTACGCTATAGGTCATAATGCAGTTTCCAAATTCACATGGCATTTTTGTTCATTAGAATTTGGCTACTCAGGATTTAAAGAACTTTGATTATGACACTGATTTCGTACAGGAACATGTTCAAGCAGATATGCTGGCTAACTTACTAATGATACATTATTTGTATTTGAAATATACTCGATTTCATATAATATATGTAATACACCACAGTGCACAGGGCATATATGCAGTCCACAGTATTTATGACAACATGATCTATAATATGTAGACTTGTATTTTAAGAGGAAGGCATTTCAACTATTCAGCTGGGTTACCCACCAGTTTTCTTTACCCAAAAAAGACTACTGGACTACTGTCTGTGAACACTGAACATTTGGCTTCTGAAAGAAGCAGGTAGAGTATTTAGAGACTAAACTAAAAAAAAAAATAAAAATCTGTCAGCAAAGCCAATTCAGTCACACTGCACAAAGTTGTTCCAGACTGACCCTAGTATACCTGACTGAGTTAGGCAAGTAACTTGCAGTTTCAAAAGCAGTAACTTTGGTGCATTTAGTTTCTCACATATGCAGTAACACAATGTCACTGAAGTAAAGAAATACCAGTAAATATTTTAAGTACTGCCAGCTTTGAACATTCAGACATTTTCCATGCCTTACTTAAGCCAAAGAAATCAATACTTACGCCTTCACCTCTCACATCTACAGTCAAACTGTTTTGGTTGTTGTCTATAAAGCGCCCAGCCACCACAATCTCAGACCCATCATAGAAATGCTTAAAACTGTTTTTAGTTAGGTCTAATACTTCATTTTCTGGGTAGTTTAACTCCACATCCGTGAGCATGGGATTCGATACCTCATCATAAAACCCCTACAGGATAAAATAAATAAATTAATTAAAAGGAGAACATTTAACTGTCATTGCTTCTTTAATTCGTAGGTAGATCTGTACCCAGAAACATCCTGCTATTTCAGCAATGAAAACAAGAAGTATATTTTAGAAGAAATATTTAAATATTCAGTTAAATCTCAGAGTACAAGACCTAAAAATCTACAGATAATGGAAATGAGAAAGGACATAAAAATTCTTCAGTCTCACTAAGAGAGAGGAAAAATATCTGAGAACAACATGCTGCGGATGATGAGTTCCATCATTGTTAATCAAGAGGGATCCCAAGCTTCCCCCTATTTGACAGAAATAAGTTTCTAGATCTATTCCCTGCAGACACTGAAATGACAACATAGGCCAAAGGAGACTAGGTATTTGATTTTGGCAGAGGTTGCAATGAAATCCAGCATCTAAATTCTTTGGTGAATTTTTTGAATGGCTGCTATTGGAATGTAAGACATAAAAAGTCAACTCTGTACTGCCTATACCTGTGCTCATGCCTTATACAACTATAAAATGCTTCAGAGAAGTATGGTAAGACATACCTGCTTGCAGTAAGTTCCTCAAGACAGACTATCTAGAGCCTTTACGCTCTGTTGTCTTTCTCTTCCTATGACATTAACTACATGATCTCTGAGGTATGGGAGATACAACTGCAGCAATTTTGCTGCACACCAAATTGTCCTTCAGAACTATGACTTGTGTCACCCTATGCCAAGTTTTGAACCCTCTTCCATAGCCCACAGTATCTCCCTTCTACTGTCCTTCCACTTTCTGCTTAGATAAGGGAAGGGGAAAATTAAATGCAACTAATATTCTGATTACAGCAGACTCTTGAGTATCTCAGTACCGGATCACACTTTGGGATTTTGATTACTTCAAAATAAGAACGTCTGTGTAGTTATCTGAATTAATGTATCTCTTGTCTAATTTAAGTGGTGATTACTGTACCTGAAGCTGTAAAGCTGCATCAGAGTCGGGATAAATCCGACGGGCCAATCCTTTATTCTCCAGCGCCATCTTCTCCAAGAAGTTGTAGTCAACACCATAGCCAAAACCAAGATTGTACAAGGGATATTTTCCTTCAATGGCTTTTTTTACATGTGCCTGAATGTCCTGAGTATTTGATATGCCTGCATCAAACCAGAAAAAGTTTGAGTTTTCTCCATAAGTAGATAAATTTATCACAAAATGAAATGTGGCTAGTCATATTCGTATTTCTTAGGAGGCATTATCAAAAACTTGTTTTAGTAGTATGATGCTGGTATAGTAGCACTGAAATCATGAAAACATCCAGAAGTCAAAGATGAAGGCTAATTTTAACCCAGCATTTTTTGTTAGTTAATTCACTCTCTTTATTATTCCATCCAACACAAACTTACCTACATTTGGTTGGCCATCTGTTAACATGATAATTATAGAAGCGCTTCTCTTGGGCACAAGGTTTTCTTCATGAGCAGCATTCAGCATATCAATTCCCCTCATTATACCACCATATAAATTTGTCACTGCAAGATAGACATAGAAATTTGGTTTCAGCACAGACAGTCAAAATAAAGGCCAAATTTTCAGTGGAATCTGATGAGATCTCATTACAGTATGAAAATGAAAGATTTGGGTTTTCAAGGAGGGGGATGTTTAGATAAAAAAACACCTGCACTTTGGAAATATAAGGAAAAATAGATGTCATATTCTGAGTAAATTTCAACTTTAGGCATGTCTCATCAGTAATAAAAAAAAAAAAAAAAAAAGCTGTAGCATTGTGTTCACAGACTGAATTGATAAATTAACTTACACAACGACCTACAGGCAAGCCCAATAAAGTACTTACAGCCTTCAGTGTCAATGCCCCGAACAAACTTCCTTGCTTCATCCAAATTCTCAGGAGTGGCCTTGATTAATGTTTCTTTCCAAGTGTGTACTTCACTACCAAACAGTATGAAATTGAAGAAGTCATCTTCTTCAATGTCATCTAAGATTTTCAGAAGTGCTTGTCTTGTCTATAAAAGAGATTTAAGTGTATGGTTCAACATTTAAGGAAATAGGTGCTTACAGATTTAACACGATTAATCTCTTAGCATTTAGGTATTTTTAACTTTTACATAGTACATTGTGTAAAAATTCTGAGCTTGTTCTGTCCTTGCCAGTCTCTGTGTTTATTTCAGAGTAACTCTAATGAAGTCAGCCAGTTGCAATTACATCTGGTAAATCTTTGTAGCTGAGAGGAAAATCAGGTCTCATGTCATGGATCGTTGCTTACACTGAGGTAAGCTGGCATGGCAAATTGAAAGTGATGGGAAACAGGTAGCTACAGATTGGTGGAGAAGCTCATATGTAAGCAAGCGTGGATATTTTGATGCAGCACCAAAACCTGAAAATTCTGAGCACTAGCTTGCAATGAGGAATCCTAACTCTCAAAAGAGGTGCCACTTCCCAGAGGAGACAGAATGAACAACACAGATAACACACGTAATACTGTATGCACATTTTAATTTTGGAGCTGTCCAGTACATGTGACAGAGCTCTCTGGAAATTTTTATATTGGGAGTTTTGAACTTATAACATTTATAAGTAAGTAAATGTAGCCTAAATGTACAGAATTTTGTTCTACAGTAACACTTCAAACTAGGAGTTACGGTACTAAGCATCAGAAAGGTCACAGCATAAAACCACTTGGTATAGCTTAAGCAGCGCATATGCACTATAAGCCACCATGTCCCTTCCATCACAACAGAGGCTCTTTCAATTGGGACTCCATATTAATGTAATAACTTACCTGTTCTATTTCTCTTCCAGACATTGAGCCACTAATATCTATTACAAAAATAACATTCTTGGGCAACTTTGGGAGATTTGTTGGTGCAAAGAAATGTACAAAGTAGCCACTGACAATCTGAAAAATAAAATGTAAAAATAAAAAACAAAAACAAAACCAAAAAAACCCCAAACACCCACCAAAACTTTTGTATATTATAAAGATAAAATGGATAAAGAAGAAATTACTTTTATTTAGTGCCTAGCCCCTGAGTGGACTAATAGGCTTTGATGGTCTTGACCAGTCTCACCTCTGTCCATGGCCCCAGGAGCTTCACTGTAGCACAAGTCTGGATCTTTAGTCTCTGCTTGAGCTACACTGTAAGAATACCTGTCTCCAGCTGTGTCACAGCCATACCTGTTCCCGTCCATGGATTCCACTGATTTGGGTCCCACCCTGCAGACTGACTTCCCACCTTGACCCCAGGCTGACTCACCACCACAAACTTGCCTGATGGCCTGGACTCTCAGTTGAATTTGACTACCATCGCTGCGTCTGCCTTGCTTAGGTACTGTGGGTAGCAGGCTTGCAGCTGGCGAAGCCCCTGTGCTGTTACCTGTGTTGTCACACTGAGCTCCTTGTCCTTTAGGGAACAGCTGGTCCTCGCGGCTCCCTGACCTCTACTATGCAAGCTAAACTGTTTAACAGTTCAAAATTTCCAGCTGTCAGATTTACCTGCAAATTATCTGGAGTTGTTCTCTTCACATCATATCTTACAGTAAAATCCCCATCCAAGACAGACTGTGAGCAATTTGCACAGGTTCGCTGCTGATCAAGAGATGGCTTGAAAGAGATACGCCCCTGAAAGAAAAGCCTTCATTAGATCTGAATCATAATAGTTAAATATTTTCCACAGAACACAAAGAAGTTTGCATTTTTGTAAAACTAGTATATTTATATTCACAGACATGAGAATAACCTATTTTATCAGGTTAGGTATTAGTTTGTATCCCTATGTATTTATAAATTTATTGATGGGTAACTGGTATCTGAAGTCTGCTATCTAGAGCTTTCTTCATATGTTTACTTCCCCATCTTCCTTGGTTCAGCCCTCCACTCTGAACGACACCTTTGATAAGGCTCTGGGGCAGTCCATGTCATAGGAATTCTGCCACCTCTATAGATGAGAAAACTACTTGTTACTCAGTTCTTCTGTAAGAAACTGTTTTACCGGTATCCAGATTTCCAACTACTGCTGTGGGACAAGGCCTACTAGTTTGGGTACAGTACAATGCTAACAGCTACGTGGCTTCTGAACTGCATGGAGACGGCCTTCAACTTAGTAGCTTGGAATTCAGAGCTCATTTGCACAGACAAGCATTTACTGCATGTTCTCTATTTTTTTCCTCTCACTTCCATTGCTAGCACAAATATTATTATTTCAGAATCACAACCCTAATAAATAAATTATGGAATGCAATTGTCATTGTACCTTTTTCTCTGAAAAAGTTTTTTTAATGGTATCTTGTAGATCATTGGTGATGAACGTTCCTTCTGCTTCCAGTTCAGTGATACCCTGGGGCTCAAAGATATTTACTTCAATCTGAAATATTAATTGAAAATTCATTGTCATTGATTACCCCACGATATATGAACTTAGCCATTGACAGGAGGATCAGCAGGCAATTACAGATGTGAAAGAGGGATTTTTGTAAAAGAAAAAAAATTTACTTTTGTAATTCATAATGGCAGTCCAAATCCAAACTTGTGTGGACACACTATCAGCCAAACAGGCCTTTTTATACGTAGAAGTTAAAAACAAAGCTAGAAACAAATATGCCTTAATAGAAATACCACTTCTTTGAAAGCTAGATACTGGAATTTTGTAAAATGTCAATAAATACTCAAGTCCTTCAAAAATATAACCCAGCCATTAGCTGTGAGTTGTGCCCAACCTGTATTTCAGTATGCCTTCTAACATAGTGCGTTTAAAATAATGCTGCATGAACTGTTATAGATGCTGAGTTTTGCCATGATTTTTACACAGCGTTTTCTGGGCAAACAAAGGAGAAAAATTTTGACTTAGAGCTGTGTTTTAGCAAGGCAGATAGGCATGATCAAGGACAAGTTTTGGCGCACAAAAGTCATGGTATTCTAGAATGTGATATATGTATCACTGTAATTTAAGATGTTGTAGTTTCATGGTGATGTAAGAAAAGTGTAGTTTATGCTATAAAGGCATTTATAAAAGCAATTAGTCTTGTATTTTACCCAAGGCATCCTAATGGATTTTTCAGGTTTCCACACATGGTTTCTTTTGGAGGCTTAGTAGCTGAGCCAATTTGTCAGGCTTACAAATTTAATGTGCACTAAAGCGCACTGGTGTGGACTCCCCATATGACTCATTAGAAATATTATCATGTGCCGTTAGCTCACCTGTGAACCAATGGGAATGACCACGGTACTCCACTTTCAACAGATGTACAGAATTTCATCATCTCTTAAGTTACAGTCCAATTTGATACAGTTTGCCATTTACCTCAAAATCTTTGACAAGCTGCTTCGGTTTTACTTTGATGAACATCTCATATTTTCCAAACTGTCGCTTCAGTAGTTCCTCATACGTGAGTTCAAAAGTGACTTTACTGCCTGCTTGAATGTTGACTGAGACAGTGAATTTTTCCGTTTTTCTTCCTGAAGCTCTGTATTTAAGTGGGTAAGTAAAAGAGTATCTTTATCCTCTTTCACAATATTTACTGTTTGAGTTGGTGGAGTATGATTTTCAAAAAGGAGTAAAACAAAGATGGGAATTTTGATCTATTGCTAAAATCGTACTCAAACGGTAGAATTTATTCAAGTTTCCCAGTGAGCTTAATCCCAGGAAGAGGTCATACAAAGTCAGCGAGAGCTGCAGAAACAGTCTTTCCATAATTGCAGATACTGCCTGCGTAGCCAGAAGTTGTATTTCCTTTTTATAATTTACACTACTATTACTCTTAATAATTGCTCTTTGGTCCTGTAAAAAACCAAACTTCAAAAATATGCCAGAACAGAGTATTTCCAGTCTCACAATTTGCTATGGGATGACAGCGTGGAAGCCATAAAAGACATCACTCTTACTTGACAAGACCAGCAGTCTGTCCCTTTGAAACAGCCTTCTCATATTGCTTTTTTGCAACTTCTTTTTCCTTTATAGTTCCAGGATAAGTGACACCATCAATTGTCCTGCAGATGAAAAAGTTCTAGTTTAGCTGAATGGTTTGCACCAATACATGAAAATTTACTACAAGCAATTCTCTGTTTATTGATTGGTTTGCTAAAAAGCACTTTCAGGAACCTGATATTGCCAAGATTTGAGCACTTTCACTGAAGCTAGTCTTCTCAGTGAATTTAGCTGGAATGAAGAGCTGTGCTCAGTATACTAAGAAGATCTAAACCAATTTTTACTCTGAAAACGAATTAGATCAAAACTGGGCTGGTAGCAACACCATACTTACACCTGCCATATTCCTACACTTCAGCAGCTTGACCATCCCATCTCATCTAATGGACGAGCTCTCTGGATGAGACTCATCTGTCCAAATATAGCTGCTCACAGCTGAACATGTTGTCCTTAGATTCCTTAGACTATTAAACAGGCATTCCTCATAGAGGATTCATCTCATCCATAATAAAAATTCTAGCACTCATTAAGAGTAGTTCTGCCCTAAAAGCTTCTGTTTCTTTTCACTGAAAATAAAACAGGCATACTGTGATTAGCAGAGAAGGATGTGTTTCTACTGAATTAAATCTCATAATGGTGTGAGAATTGCATATTTTTGCAACTAAAAGTACAAATGTAAAGCAGTAATTCTCTCTATTTCCTGCCTTTCATTAAAATATGATTTTTAAATGAAGAGATAAATTAAGCTATAATGCCATCAGGGAAATTAAGTAATGGAATTTTTCTGGTTTGATAACACCAGAGTTAGTAAGTGGTATTCCTGAAAAGATGAATGGATCTTCAGAGAAGATCCCGCATTCCCTAAGGTCCATGATGATGAATAAAAATAATTGAAAATTAGTTATCTTTCCTATAGATGTACCAACATTTGCCTTTCTCCAGGTACCTTGCATGTTAAGTTAAAAGTACCAGAAAATTACCCAAGAGGCATTTAGAAATCTATCAAACAGCAAAGTAAAAATGAACATTTGGGTTCAGTTTCTCCCAGTTGCATTTGAAGAGATTTTCAGTCTTCTCTAACAATATTGTAAAGATTACACACATGCTGAAGTTGGTAATGAAGGCTGTCTTAGGGAGTTCAACATCAAAGAAGACTTCTTTATGCACATTTCCACGATTGACAGCTCGACTGGTGACGATGTTGTGGGCAAATCGGGAAGTTACTTTACTATCAATTTTCATGCTGTAGATTTCTATCCCATTGACAACCTGTAGATTGAAAAATGAAAAAAGAAAAAAAGAGCTAGCTGTTGCACTGATGTCCATGTTAATCAGTCTTAACCACATTTCTAAAAAGAAATCACAGCAGGACTTTCTATCACTCCAGCAAAACAGGAAAGACCTAATCATAAGAACTGGAGCATAGCTGTGTGTCCTTGGGTGTCTATCACACTGCCATCATGGCGCTATTCCACAAGTTATAACTATAGCCTCTTTAACAAAATACTACCACCACAGCAAAGATACTACCATTACAATTATTTTTCTCTACCGAGACTGTGATTTTTGTTTATGGTTAGTCATATGTTAGCACAACAACTTACTGCTGCCTCACTGTATTAGCAATTGTAATTATCAGCTGAGTGGATGACTCCTAGAGCAGGGACATAAGTAGTCATCTTGTTTAAAAATAGACCTAAACAATTCCAGATGGCTCCAAATTCTATTTTATGTTATTCTCCACTGCCTCACAACTGGGGTTTATTATTTTTTAAACAAGGAAATGGGTAGGCCATACTTATTTTCTCTGAAGGCTCAGGTATAAGGTTGCTGAAGACTATATGAAAGCATAGGTAAGAACAGATGCGACTCCTTAGGCAACTCTGCAACAACAAGGTCTGCTTCTTGCAGCAAAACCAGCACTGGAAAGAACCTTGGAGTTTTTATAGTGGGCCTGATCTCTAGCTGGTTGATTAAGAAGGTCCCCAAACAATCAAAGCATTTAACATTGCTGAAGCGGAGTCCAGGTGCCAAATGGAATCAATCTCAGAGATGAGGTCTCTTGCCTTCCTTAGAAATAACTACAACATTAAGTAAAAGTAAAAATAAAACCAACGTAGAATGGATGTCTGTTAGAAATACAGAGGTGACTTCAAACAACTTTGCTATTTATTCAAATACAATGAGGTTAAAAATCATTTGTTCATTCTCTTTCCTTGTCCAGGAGTTTCCATCAGAGCTTGGAAAGGAACTGTCTAGTCAGTCCTACTGCCTAGAACAAGCAACTCTGGGCCACTCCCCTCAACACACACATTCAGAAATATCCATTTGCTCAGACTGGACTCCCAGAAACACATTGTGAACACAGTAAGAATATTCTTGTCACTATAAATCTTTCCCAGTAGCCTGGACAAAACCAAGTCTTACTTACCCAGTCATTATCAGCATTTCGCTTCTGTAAAGAGAAAAACAGGGAAAAAATCATGACTAAAGTAGGAAAGCTGCATTTAGAAATAAATCACTTAGCACCTATGTAGCTGTCTTGTGCTTCCAAGACAAAAGAAGTTGATAGGAGAAGGAAGGCTTGAGAAAGGTCCTTATTAGTAAACTGAAGTAAATTTGAAGGAAGAGCAGGTAAGGCATCTTGAGGTAGGTATATTTTACTTATAGCACTCCCAGTTTTGGTGAATCTTTTAGTTTTCATTTGATGTTAGTGCACCTTAAATACTGTGGGTTTGCAAGACAAGTTAAACTTTGAATGTTGCTGCTTTTGTATTTTGCTCAAGTGACACAAATAGAAGTTACTTTCTTTCAGCTGAAAACCAAAAATGGACCACCTGAGAGACCAGGGGAAAGTGGGAGGAAAAGAGGCTTGAATGCTCAGTGACATTTATATTTAAATGTTGTTGAGACTTAAGAACACACTAAAATCTGCCTAATACAGCTTCTCTGAGTATAGGTTGGCTGTGTGGTGACATCAAAGTAAAAACAGAACATCTTGTCCTGAGGGTGACATCTTTTTCTTGGGAAACCTCATTCTGGGTCCTGTGGTATATATTTTGTCTTTTCAAATTAATGCTCCTTTGGAAGAAAATAGGGCATTGTATCAAAGCATAAAAAAAACAGTTTGCACATTTTTTCCCAGTCACACACACATCCAAACTATCAGGCAGACCCATCCTTACACACTTTCAGACTTAGTCCTAAATTTTTCCTGTTTCACCGCAACAGCCTCTCATCCTAACATGAATAGGCAAAACAGTAATTCAGTAGGCTTACAGAGGGGAGAGGTGGTCACTATGAAAGGTTGCATGGAAGAAAAAAAAAAGCCGTTAGAACTTTTTTTGGCATATCTGCTCCCAGAGTAGGTGCAAATATCAGCAGCTCTACAAAAATATCATGTACTCTCTTCTGAAAGAGAGAATAGATTTCAAACATACTTACTGAATCATGTTAAAATAACAGCTTGTGTAACTCTATTCCCGTAAGCTCGGCTGCAAATACCTTATCTTTTTTGGCTCTAAGAGTCTCACAGCTCATGTTTTGTGCAACCATGTTTACTTGCTCCACCAAATAAAGACACAATAAAGCATCAAGTCACATACACATCTCAGGTACGTTTAAGGCTTTTGTTAGCTTTCACAGTTAGGAGTTTTACAGGTTGGAAACTGAGACACAGAGAGTTATTTTTTGTTTATTTTGGAGCTTTTTTTGAAGATACTATATTAAATCTATGGTAATGCAAGGTTTTGGGGGAAGAGGCTTCTCAAGTTCTGTAAGAGTCTGGCCAAAAAGTCTCTGTATGTTTCTCTAGGTTCATCTTTCAAACTCTTATTGCCATACAGGTGATTTCTGTGTGTACATCTCTCCTGCTTCAAAAATCTATGTGGGCTTTTTTAGTGCCTGTGTAGAGTATGCATCAATTCAAATCTGTCCTTTCCAAAACTGAAATTATCTTTTCTATATCTATACTGTCATTACGGCTAATCATTTCCCCTTACAAAACATGAACTGAGGTATGGACCCTGGAAAACGAAAAGCTGGGAGTCACTGAAATGTCAGTTTGTTTGGTACAAACTTTTCCTTAAAGTGGAATTACCAAGCATTTTAAGAATACAAAAAACTACAAAAATGTGTTCTTCAATTACAAATTCTGCAATTCTGACTACTACCTCCTAAATTAAAAGATACTTCACCTGCGTTTAATTTTTAAAGAATTGCTGCTGTGCACATTCTTTATCAGAATTATGGGTTCTACAGTAGTTTTGAGAGTTCTGTTCTGATTCTGTAAGTATTTTGATGGGGTACTCTGCCATTTTCATTGAAAAAGAAAATACAGAAAAACCTCTCAGTGAAAGGTATTAGTCACTTTGTACTTGGGTTGATCTTCAATGGAGATACTCAAACCCAGCTGGACATCATCCTAGGTACCTGCTCTAGTTGACCCTGATTTGCACAGGGGAGTGGATTAGGTGACTCTGTGATCCTGTGATTTTTTTTTTTCATTCTTAATGATTCACTCGGATGTAGCTAGAGAGCTCACTAACATCAAGGTCATTTTAAGCTATGATGTGGGCAGAAAGTGACAGTGTCTCATTAAAAAATATGTTATGCAATTCTAGACCAAACTGAGATTTTAATATCCTCTACCTTGTGTAACTGCAGTTACTTGATAAAATGTCTCTATAGTATTTCCACATATTTGCCAGTTGCAGCAATTATTAGAAAAAAAATTTTCATTTGTATAACAGTAACAAATTCTGCTTTTGTTTAATACTGTTTTACTATGGCAACAGCAAAGAATATAGGTGAAAAAAATCTATCAAAATTGTAGAGGAAGAGCAGGGGAAAAAAGAAATCTGAACTCCCAAGAAAATAGGGAGGGAACAGAGGGCTCCCATTACAGTACTTGCTGAAAGAAGTCCTGATTTTACAGCTTGGGAAACTACAACTCAGCAAGACTAAAAGATTCAGCAAACACTGTACAGGTAACTTGAAGCGACCTTTGAGAACTGACAACACTGAATGAGGTAATTGCATATAACCCTAAGTACTACATAGGAAAAATAACGCATGAAAATTATTTCCAGATCTACAGCAATATTAAAGATTTCATCATCCCAAGTGATGCTAATTGGATATCACAGAGAAGAGACCATAATGCAGCTAAGCTATGAAAATGAAACTTCCTTGTGAGCTATGTAGGAGTCTTGCTGCAGCCAAAATGAGAGGGCCATAAAAGGAAGGCCGTATCATTGCTACCCGTGCTTTGAATGCTTTGAATATGTAGTTCTACGGGTAGTTTTTACCCTAGAAAAAACTTTTCTACCCTTAATAACTGCATGCATAGGAACAAGGTGTACAAGTACACATAGGGATCTTTGATTCAGATTTTTGTTCCATTTTCAGCAGAATTGGGTCTGCCAATTGTGTTTACCTGATTATGGCTTTAAAAGCAGCTTTGACAGCTCGAAAGTCATCAGTGACACAGATTTTCAGTCATGGTTCATCACTCCTCACTGGCATATTACTTGTGCAAAGGAGCTAAGACAGGGGTGGGGACTGAGACCTTTGCAGTACGTAGCAATCTCCTCCATTTCAATCAAATCACATTTGCATAAAGTATATAACAAAACTGGGAGAATCAACTGACTGCATGTACGGATAGAGCCCTGCACAGAGCTTTAGCCATTTTCCATTTAGAAAGGCTTTAGCATTGCAAGACATACAGAGAACAACAGGTAGCATGGTAATCAGAAGGAAAAAGCTACATTATATCTGGGCTACATAATGGTTAAATAATAAGAATCCATGGCATCTCCGACTTGCAGCAATAAATCTCAAGCTGATTTTTAAAAGTTAGGTATGTTATTATCCTAATTTTCAAATAAGAAGTCTCAGCAAAGATCATAACCTAATCAACAGAAATTGACTGTAAATTGCTTTGTCCTGTTCTACCCACTAATCTACAATGTTCCCTAAGAAATTTTCCCTCTGCAACTTTTCATAGTATGTAACTACTGAGAGAGAGGAAAATAATTTATTGAGGAGAAGAGTACCGGCCGGCAACTTAACTGAAGAATTAAGTACAACATCAGAAAACACTGCCTTACTCAGAGATCCAGGCAAAAACAGAATGGCCCCTTTGAGGGACAGAGATATATTTCATGCTATGCTAACATGCAAATCTTTTGAGAAACATCCTACCACGTCATTTGGATAGTGGACATATCTATCTGCATGCCATGTTACAGCTCTGTTTTCTGCTTCTTGGAGGCATCTTTCCACTGATATTTTGCATTGCTTTACAGGTGCTAAAGTCGGTTCCCTGGCAGCATTAATTGTTTTACACATTTAAATATAAGACTACTAAAACATTTTACCATTATGTGGTGATAACAGGGAAAATAGCAGAAAGTGATGCTTTTAGAAAGAGAGATAGGAGAGCTTCTTCAGGGCTGATTCAAAACTGATGCTGATTAGAGGTAAACTAGTCTGAGTCCCATGTCCCATCTTGTGTTCACTGGTAACAGAGAACACAAAGTTCCTGGTGGCAGCACTGTATGAACTCTGATAAATGTTGACAAATGGCAGGAAGTTAATCTATGAAGAATGGGAGCCCCAAACATGGTGACTACTTACCTTGATGTTTCTGACATGTGTTACCAAAAAGTCTGATGACGCAAAGGCAGGAATCAACAGTAAAATACAAAGCAGCAGGTGGTTTTCCATTTTGGAAAAAAAGTAAGGTTTCAATCTGAACGATACACATAAATATATAATGCTTTGTTTACCGAGTGTTAATAAATAACCCAGTGTGAAAAGTGGGATTAAACATTAGGCATTCAGGAAAAATCAAATACTGAATTTTGAATTTGCATAATCTGCAGAATACTGTTACAAAATACTGTTCAAGAATTTACAGAATATTTCAGCAATGTCTCTGCTATGTAATATCTCCAAACAGAAATTCAACAGCCATTTCTGTATAGGCAACGGAGACTGACCTCTGTTCCAGACTCACCTTTTTTCGAAACAAAAGCTGTCATCCATCTTTCTGATGCCTTCTTAAAGGCTGTCCCTGGCTCAAATTTACTGCAGCTGTAACAGAGCTTGCAGTCTCTTAAGCCCATTTATGCCTCTCTTCAAATACCACCTCCTGTAATCCTGCATATCACTCAGCTACCTGATTTAGGTATCATTATTTGACACATGTCCTGACTACTCCAGAAAGTTCCTATTACATGCTTTCCTATTCATCTTCATGGCTGAAACCTAGGTCCATGCTCACAGGGTCTTGCATCTTGCAGGATCAATACCCATTCAGCCTGCTGCTGCAAGGCCCAGTTTCTTTATTTGTTATCTGGACAGCGTTAATTCTCTCTTAATCTTTTTAACTGGTTTCATCTCCTTCGTTGCATGAAACACAAACTTTAAGGGCTGGGAGTTAAAGGCTCAGTGATAATAAAATACTGAAGTTTACAGAATTTGGGTTATTTTCTGTTTTTCCTGCAGTTGGCTTTCTGAGGTGAGCAGCTGAGGGACACAGGAGGATAGGTCCAGAAATTCCTTTTAAACCACTCTGGAGCTTTTTAAAACAATCCTCTACCCCACCCAAAGGCGACAGGATGGCTCTGTAGAGCAGCCGCGCTCTGCCAGGCCGCCCTGGCCACCTCATGCGCCAGGGTGCAAGGCAGAGTGGCAGGGCCCGTTGTGGGGCGTGGTGCCACAGCGGCCCACAAGGCTGTGACCGTGCCCCTGTCCCCACTCTTCCCCAGGAGAGCAGCACCAAGGACCCTCGTCAGACACTGTGTTTGAGGGGATGGCTTTATT